AGGCGTTGTAGCGTAACGTTTACATTTTAATTATCATTCGAAAGCAGTATAAAATTACTTCCATCATTAGCATAAACAAAACAAAGGATTCACCGTAATTTGTATTTCTGAATAAAATATTGCGCTGGCGTTACAAAAGACTTAATAACGGCCCTTTGATAGGCCAAATTTAAACTTTAAAGATAATAATGATGAGAGTATAAATGGTTATAAATGACTATAATAGGGGTGATATATGACAGTAGCGATGAGAAATGACAAAATGATATTAGTGATAATGAGGGTACTATAGAATGATTATAATTGTACTTTAATAACATTAGTAATTACTTGAGGAAATATCGGATTTCTTGAGTTTGAGGATGTATTAAGTTTCATATTCTTTATATATATTTTTAAAAACGTATGGTTCGATACATACAAATGATTTTCACGAAAGAGATAAAACTCACAAGTTCCAAAATAGGAAAAAAAAAACAGGCCTATTTCGAATTTTTGCCCAGAATTACATGCGTGTGTTTTTGATCTGAAATTGAAAACGCATCAATGTTTGTTTTAGTCATACATTTTTAATTATTGTAATTGCCTTTATTTTTCGGTTCGCTAATTCGGGTTCTCTCTCTTTCTCTCTTTCTCTCTCTCTCTCTCTCTCCCTCTCTCCCTCTCTCCCATCCTCTTCTTCCTTCCCCCCTTACCACTCCCTCCCTCCTACCATCCCCACTTCTTCCCTCCCCTCCTCCCTCTCCATCTTTCTCACTCCATCTCTCTCCTCTCCCTCTGCTCACCAGCATCACTCACGCCCAGCGATGCTCATCCATAACCGGGTACTGAGAACAATACCCCGAGACACACAAAAGCCCCTGGCACCTCTTGGTTTAATGCAGACATGTTCCGCGAAAATTTTGGATTCTTTTTTCTTCTTTCTTTCTTTCTTTTCTTTTTTTTTCTTTTTTTCTTTCTCTTTTTCTCTCTTTCTCTCTTTCTTTCTCTCTTTCTCTCTTTCTCTCTCTCTCTCTCTTTCTCTCTTTCTCTCTCTCTCTCACTCTCTCTCTCTCTCTCTTTCACTCTTTCTTTATCTCTCTGTCTCTCTCTCTCTCTCTCGCTTTTTTTTTCTGCTCGTAATTATGCAATTTCGCCGCCAGGGTTTTCTTCGTGGCTTATGGAGGATGATACCGTTTGTTGTTTTGTTGTTGTTTTGCTGTTGTTATGCTTATCTTTGTTGTCACTGCCATTCATTGTTATTACAATAATGATGGATTTTTATTACTACTAGTGTTGTCATTATTATTATTATTATTTAATTAAAGAAATATTAATGATAATAATGATATTTATTATTATTATTATTTATTATCATTATTATTATTATTATTATTACTATTATTATTATTATTATCATTATCATTATAAAAATAATAATAATAATAGTTATTATCATCATCATCATCATCACCATCATCATCATCATTATCATTGTTATTATTATCATTATTATTATCATCATCATTCTCATTTTGATGATTATTGCTATTGTCATCATAATCATCATTTAATTAAATTGAGGGAGAGGGGAGGGTTAAATAAAGGGGGAGGGGGGTAACGGTTGATTGAGAGCGTCTAGTGATGGTGTCTTATCATCATCACCATCAACACCATTTGTCTGCTATTGTGATGGTGACGATTAATGATTTTATTGTTACTGGTAAAGCATTAGTCTGGTATTTTTTATTTTATGTTTTATGAATTATTATTATTTTTATTATTATCATTATTACTGTTATTATTATTATTATTATTATTGTTTATGCCAATCTTCTTTGTCACTTTCGTCATTACTTTAATACTACTGTTACTTTTATTGTTACTGTCATTAATGTTAATGTTATTATTATTATTATCATTATTATTATTAGTAGTAGTAGTATTGTTATCACCATTATTGTTACTACTACTTAAAATATCACTGTTATTGTTATCATTATCATTATCATTAGATTGTTTATTATTTTTTTATTATTATTATTGTCTATTATCATTATCATTATTATTTTATCATCATCATTATTATCATCATTATTAATGTCACCAAGATCATTACTATTGTTGTTATTGTTGTTGTTATTATTATTACTATTACTATGGCTGTACTATTGTTTTTATTGTTATTATTCTTATCATTGTTGTTATCATAATCACTTCTGTTGGTGGTGATCTTCCTATGAACATTGTTATTGTTATCAGTATCAATATTTGAATTATTGGTTGATAACTTTGTTATTATTATTTTTAATAATTATTATCACATCAGTGTCATATCCTCACCAACATTGCTCATCTCTGTCTCACTCTCGCTGTCTCTCATCCCCCCTTCTCTCTCTCTCTCTCTCTCTCTCTCTCTCTCTCTCTCTCATTCCCTGGCTCCCTCTTCTGCCCCCCCCTCTCTCTCTCCCTCTTTTTCTCTCTCTCATCCCCTTTTTCTCTCTCTCTCTCTCACCCTCTCTCTCTCTTCCTTCTCCTCTCCCTCCTCCCTCCCTCCCTTTGTATAAGCGTCCGTTCGCTGTCAAGGTCCTTCACATGTCCTTTGATTTTTCACTTTCTGATCCTTTCAAGGAGTATGACCCTCTCCCCTGCGCCGGTCCTGCCTCCGCCCCGTCCTTCAGTTTTATGGGAGTCTGTGTTCTTGTCTCTCTCTCTCTCTCTCCTTCCTCTTTTTTTTTTTCTTTTTTCGTTTCTGATTTTTTTTTTCATAACGTGTAATTTTTTTTGTGATAAAGTTGTCGGTTTTTTTTCTTCTTCGTTTTATTGGACTGTGTCTTCATCTCCGCGTTTGTTTGCTTTTTTAAATCTTTTTTTTGTGTTTATTGTTTTCTTTCTTGGTGTCTTTGTTTGTTTCTTTCTTTGTTTCTTCTTTTTTCTTGGTGTTTATTGTTTCTTTTCCTCCTGTTCATACGATTAGCTTTTCTTTATTTCCTCTTTACTCTTACTTTATACTTTATTCTTACTATACTTACTACTTTCATATGACTCCCTCCCCCTCTCCCCCTCTTATTCTCCTGCTCTTTCTTCTTCTCTTTCCTCTTTATCTTATTGAAATTTATATTTTCTCTTTATTCACCCTGAAATTTCCGTGTTATTCAGTTTCTCTCTTTCTTTTTCTCATCTTTCTTTTCTCTCCTTTTCTATTATCCCCACCCCCCCTCTTTCTCTCTCTTTACCTAATCTTTATATCATTTATTTCTCTCTCCTCTTCACATTTTATCTTCCTTTCTCCCTTCCTTATACCCACTCTTCTCTATCTCTCCATACCTTACAACTCTCTCTCTCCATACCTTATAACCACCTACCCCCCCCCCTCTCTCTCTCTTTATCCCACCTCGCATTTCTCTCCTCCTCTCACCTTTTCTCACCTCATCTCACCTCCCGTCTCTTCATACCACATCCCTCAATTTTCTCACCTCAGTCTCACCTCTCTTATCTCTCTCCATAGCCTTTAACCCGCTCTCTCTCTCTCTCACTCACTCACTCACTCTCTCTTTCTCTCTCTATCCATACCTTATACCCCTTTCTGTCTCTGTCTCTTTCTCTCTCTCTCTCACTCTCACTCTCACTCTCACTCTCACTCACTCACTCACTCACTCACTCTCTCCCACACCTCTCATTTTCTCACCTGAATCTCACCCCTCTTCCTCTCCTCCCACAGCCTGGGCGACTTCTTCAGCTACAACAGCGGCTGTCCCCAAGGCTGGATGCAGATCAGCGAGCGAGATCGACCCTACACTGACGGCTGCTGGTGCGGGGATGGACGGGGGTTCAACGTCTACTACAGCGAGACGGCCACCACGACCCTCACACTGAAGAAATTCATCCCTATGGACTACATTCACTTTGAGGTCTGTGGTTAGGGGTGTTGGTGTTTGGATGGGTGTGTGTGTGTGTAGAGATAGGGTAGATAGATATAGAGTGAATGAGAGGAGAGAGAGAAGGAGGAAGGAGAAAAAGGAGGGAGTTAGAAGAGAGAGAGGGGTGGGGAGAAAGAGAGCGAGAGACTGAGACAGAGAGAGGGAGACAGAGACAGAGATAGAGGCAGAGAGGGAAAGAGAAAGAGAGATTAAATGGAAGTTGTATTGGCTGTTAGAGATAGACAAAACCAGAAACTGAGAATAAGATAGAAGCTGTAAAAAAATAAATAAATAAATAAATAAAAATCGAGACGTAGTCAGTATTCAAGTACACCCCCCCTCCCCTTAAAGGAGAGAGAGAGAGAGAGAGAGAGAGAGAGAGAGAGAGAGAGAGAGAGAGAGAGAGATAATAATAAGAAATAAAAATGAATACATAAAAATAAAAAAAAATAAGAAAATGTTTGAAGAAAAGCAAGGCATAGCCGGGGCCGCTTATTACGAGAGCAGGGCCGGTCCATATGGCTTGCGTTAAAGTTTTAAGACTTCCAGGATTATATGCGACGCTCCGAGAGGCATGAGAGGGGGTGGGGGGAGGTGGGGGGGAGATTGGAAAAGTTTGCAGGTAGTTAAGTAATTTCTTGCACCTTAGGATTAATATGGAGACAAGGAGGGGATTGTGGACTTATGGCAGGTGTGAATAAGGGTGACAGTCGAATATCCTCAGCGCTTTTCGGATGTTTAATTATAGTTTGGCTTTGTTTTTGTTCTCTGTCTGTGTCTGTTTGTCTGTATGTCTGTCTTTTTCACTTATTCTTACTTTCTCACTTTGTCTATATATTACCTATCTCTCTCTCTCTCTCTCTCTCTCTCTCTATCTCTATCTCTCTCTCTCTCCCTTTGTCTATCTCTATCTATCTATCTATATGTCTGTCTGTCTGCCTAGGTCTATTGTGTATTTGCAAAAAAATAATGCTAGGAGAATATCTTAAGTGGGGGATTCTCTATATTAGTACATTGAGAAATAGGCGAGTCATAAAAGAATAAATAAATACACAAAAACACTGATAAATATAGATAGATAAAAAAGGGCACGAATAGAATTATGAATGGACAGATAGATGTATAGAGTCAGAGAGATAGCTATGTAAATAGATAGATAGCCAGGTAGTTTGATAGATAAATAGACTGATGGAGAGAGACACTGATATAAAAATAGATAGATGGATAGACAAATAGACAGAGAATCATCCAGATGGGTAGATCGATAAGTAGACGGATAAATATGAATTGATCGATTACCGAAGTTATATAGGTAGATAGACTGGCAAACGTATAGATAGAGATTTGTGTACAGAAAATTATATTAAAAATTGACTAGCCGTCTTGATAGAAAAATAGACAGATACAAGGTAATAGAAATATAAAAATAAGTAGAAAGATGGATAGATATATATAAATGACTAGATGGATATTACTGATGATATATGAACGAATGGTTAAGTGAATAGGTAGTTAAATTGATAAATCTATAGTCTAAATTGATACATATATAGGCACATAGAGAAAGGCAAAGCTTTACAAAATGATAAGTAAATAAACAGACGAACAAAGAAATCTGAAAAGTGGATAGAAAACTTGGGAGAAAGAAAGACAAACAGATAATTAGCTAGATAAACACACACACACACAGTGATGATTATAATAATAACAAAATCTAATCTATCTATCTATACTGATATAGATATATCGACTTTATTACTGCCCAGACTACTTGACCTTCTGCAATAACCAGGGCTAAGTGTCTGAAAAGCATTTACAGGATGCACCAATTAGTAATGCCAAGGGTGTGTTTGCAACGAATCACTTGAATACTAAATTACCTCTTCAATAGTGATAGATTTAGGTTACGTGGGGCGTTGATCATGCCTCCTTTTGCACTTTATATAGATACATAGGTAGGTAAGTAGATAGGTAGATAGATAGATAGAAATAGATATAGGTATATAGATATGTATATATATATATGTATTTTATTTTTTTATTTTTGTCTCACAATTGCTGTTGTCATTATTGGTATTGGTGATGTTGTTATTGTTTATTATTGTTGGTATCATTATCATTATCATTATTGTAGCTATTATTGTTATTGTTATAATCATCATTATTCTTATTCTTGTTATTATTATCGTTATTGTTATTATCATTATTATTATTTTCATTGTTATCATTATTATTATTACTATTCCTTTATCATTATTATTATTATCATTGTTATCAGTATTATCACCATTAGTAATATGATCATTAATTTTAACCTGATCATCATCAATATAACTGAAACTAAGTTATCAGTGGTATCTTCATCACCTTGAGTATATATCTTAAATCATCCATCTCCTACTTATCTTTATAAATTCCTTGCGTCATATCAATCCCATCGACCATTCACGCATCAACACATGTCCCTCATCCATCCTGTATCTCCCAATCCATCATTTCCTTCTCCTTCATTAACATTAACTTAATTTTCCTCTTGGCTCAGGGTCTGTTGAAGTCTCCCTTCCGCTTTCGCCTGACCTACAAGACGCTGCGCCACAGTGATGCTCTCCTGCGCTACGGGAATGTAACCAACCCGAAGTATAGAGGAGACCTGGTGGACGGTAAGTTGGGTTCTGTGTGTTTGTGTGTGTGTGTGTGTGTGTGTGTGTGTGTGTGTGTGTGTATGTGTGTGTGTGTGTGTGTGTGTGTGTTGCGGGGGGAGGGAAGGGGGGGGGGGTTGTATCGGGTGGTGGAGGAAGGTGAAGGAAGGAGGTTTTTGGTGTGTGTGGGATGGGGAAGAGTGTGGGTGTGTGTGTAGGTGTGTGTGTGTGGGTGTACGTGGTGTAGGTGTGTGTTTCTGTGTATATATAGTCTGTATATATAGTGATTTGTCTGTTGGTATAAGAGCGTGACAGCACATGTCCTTGATTTGCAAAACTGTGGAGTTTTTCTCTCATAGATTATTCGCATGTTATAGATGATCAGGCTTCTCTTTAGGGAAAAAGAAATCCTGTCACGATTTGGCGAGTGCACACAAATAAATAAAATCCGACAAAAGATAAAATGCTCTCACGCATACCTGTTTTTGCGTCAAATTATCAACAAGACAGAATGCTTTGCCATTCCCCAGATACAGGGCCTACCTTTTCATCGAATCAGGCTCGCCTGAAATTTATCACCTCTGTCAAAACAATAAATATAAATGAATATATATATATATATATATATATATATATATATATATATATATATTATGATGATAATAAAAAAAATCAGTCCCTCTTTCTCAGCCGCTTCTATATGCATCTTATCCATATAACAAAACAAAACAAAAAAGTCTCCCAATTGTGAAAAATAAAAATGGATAAATAGATAAATAAATACCCCCCCCCCCCCTTTCCATGCCTCTATCGAGCTTCCACCTGCCGGAGCGGCCTGAGCACCTTCAGTCTCCTCATATTCTCAAGATGAAATTCAAGACACAAGGGAGATATATATATATATATATATTTTTTTTCCCCCTCCTCCGCCTTTTCAAGACAAAGGCAGACAAAGCGGTTCC